ATTTGCCACTAAAAGATTCTTCCTCTTTGTTAATGATACTGCTATTATCTTGTCACCCAGACCTAAAATCTGGAATGATGTCATTGATTCAACATGGTGACATGCTCCTTTCATCAGGGAAGAGAAGTTTCTGGAAACTGGAGCACCAATGAACACCTTGATTTATTACCTAAAACTCTTTGCCATTCAGGGATGGCATCCTCATTTTCTCTGTGTGTTTCTTTATAATAGTCCCAGCAGTGAATTTGTCTGGGCTTGGAAGTAGACCTTCCTGACCCCCCAAAGTCACCACCAAGAGGTTCAGAAATACTTGCATTTTAGCATTCTGGGAAAACTTCAGCCATTACAATAATCATATGTACTTTGTTGTGGGGGGAGAAGTTTACTGCAAATCAAAAAGGCATCCACCAGAAAATTACATGTTAATTAATGACAGGCGACAACTCGGTAGAGGAAAGAAAACATTGGCAAAGGCCCCTCAGACTGAGTAGTCCCTATGTGGTCGGCAGAGGGCGCTATGAGCAGTTCCAGGCAGATCTAGCCAGCAGCCCTACCAGTGACAAACTTGAACTGCTCAAAGTTAATTGGAGTGTAAGACAGGCTCTCTAACTCAAGGAGCTTAAAAATCAACTGGGGAAAAAAACTGACATGAACACAAATACAAAATGTTATATTTTAGACAGTGGCCAGGTTCTAAGGTGAAAATCCATTAGAAATACATTCAGATGACTCTTTGGGTTGTATTTATAGATTGTGTTGTATGAGAAAAACAAGCACTGGTAGTACAGTGGTTAAAGTGCTTGACTGCTAACTGAGTTTGAGCTCTGTGGGAGAAAGATGTGGCAGTCTGCTTCCACAAAGATTTACAGGTTTAGAAACCCTATGTGGCAATTCTACTCTGTCCTGTAGGGTCTTTATGAGTCAGAATCGACTCTACAGGCAGTGGGTTGTGTGGAAAAAGACTGCTCTTTAAATGTTAGAATCACACCTCAGTTACCCTAAGAGAGAATACTGGAAGAAAATCTGGCTGAGGGAATAGAAGGTTCGGGTCCCATCTCCCTCTCCCTCTCATATATGCTCCAATGAGCACAGTCACTGGAAATAGTCTCTCCCTTCCTCTTTGCCTTTCTCTTCTCTATACAATACACAGGTGAATATGTCTATGTCTATACATACATTAGACAACTCCTCTCAATAGTACTGAACCACGTGAGAAGCAAAGGTCTCCACAGAGCACTAAGGGGGCACATGGAGAAAGACATTAAATCCATGAGGTAAGAGCTCAAGGCTTCAGGGAGATCATCTGAGCTTGACACTGAAGAATGAATACCATGTACAGAGGACGGGATGTAGGGAGGGCAGCCTAGGAAGGACAGCATGAGCACAAACACTGAGGCAGGGATGTACAGAGCTCATAATTTAGGGCAAAGGTCACTGGGACTGACTTTGTGTGATGGAGAAAAGGTGGTGAGAGTAAGACTGGAAAGGAATCTGGTCTTTCCTCTACAGCCTGGGCCAGCTTTATGGGTATGCGTCCTGACTCAAGAAGGTCACCACAGGCCTTGGGAATGCAGTTTAGCACTAAAGGTCCTCAAAAGTCTTCCAAGGATAGCATGCCTGCTCGTTTTCCTTAGGATTCTCCTACATGGTATCCAAATTTCAAAACCTCTGTGAGAGAGAACAGTACGGCAAGTGCAGGGCATTTAATTCGCGAGGGTGACTATGGACCAGTTACTGCGCAGCAATTTCCTCAGGTGCAAAATGGGAACGTTGACTTGCCTTCTACACAGAATTGCTGTGAAGACCAAATGGTAGAAACATGGGTTTTGGAGCTCTACCTTTAGCTAACTAATTCTAAGTCCCATAACTTCACTGAGTCTAAGGTTCTCCCCAGTAAACTGGTTGTAATCGTATCTATTTCGTATGGCTGATGTGATAATTAATTGAAATACTTGATATAACATGCTTAGTCAAATGCGCAGCATACAGTAAAAACCCAGTAAATACTAGTTACCATAATGGCTGAGAAAAATGACATGCTAAGAAAAATGACACAGCATTTCGCAAATAAATGATATTTCATGTCCGGAAACATATGATTTGTCCCCTAAAAACTTATTTTCAGGTATTGGCTAAATAGAGCAAACAAATGCAACAATAATCACGGTGAAGCTCGAAGCCGCAAATTTCGATCATCAGCTACAACGCAGACGGGGCCACGCCTTCAACACTCAGGCCTTGCCCTTAACCGCCTTCAGACCCCGCCCATCTTTTTACTTCCGGGTGCAGTCAATGGAACTCTGCCTCACCCCTACACGCCTGCGCAGTACAGGCCGCCGGCGGCCCGGGCGATGAGGGTCATAGTGTGGCGCTGCTGGAGCCCACTGCCGGCCTACGGTGCTAGCGCCGTGAGGTCAACTCCGCAATGGCGAGCGCTGGCCAGGCTCGACGGAGAGAAGAGCCTAAGCGCTCGAGTCCGCAAGAAGCCCCCTTGGCGGGTGCTCTTCTTCGGCACTGACGAGTTCGCCCGCGAGGCACTGCGGGCGCTGCATGCCGCCAGGTACCGAGGAGTGGACTGGGGGGTTCGGCGCTGGAGGCGCCGGCGCTGCGCCTCTGCGGCTGTCGAGACAAGCAGCTACTTTGGAAAGGTTTGGGCCCAGATCTCGGCGTCTCCCAGGCGCCCAGAAGGTGCGCGGAACCCACCCTAGCAGTCCCTGGGGACCCTATTTTGTCGGGTCTACACCCCCACTCCGGGCCCAGCCTATCGGTTCGCCTAGTGCTTACCGAGCCCCCCACCCCCACTCCGTGCCGTTTCTTTCTAGGCGCTTTGCATATATATAATCGTCCTGTCCCACCACTTCCCAGCCGTTTTACATGTGAGGAAACAGGGTCAGAGAGGTTAAACGACTTGCCCAGAGTCATCAGCTGAGCAGGTTGGGGCTCAAACGGGGTCTGACTTCAAAGTCTCCCCTTTTCCATTTCATCCTGCTGCCTCCCACCCATTTAATTTGTAGCCTCCAAGGAGCTCTGGTAACATAGTGCCTAAGGCACCTGACTGCTAACCAGAAGGCCGGCGGTTCAAACCCACCAGCTACTCCTTGGAAGGAAGGTTGGGCAATCTACTTACGTAGTTATACCGCCTCGGAAACTCAAGGAGGGGTCACTAGGAGTCTGGTCCGACTCGATGGCACATAACAACAACAACAAGGGTTTTGGGGGTTTTTTAAGGCTTGTTCTTAACAGGCGCATACATCCCCCTCTGTACAATCATGTCACTCTTTAGTATTCCATGTTTTTCCTCTGTACAACGGATCCCAATTTTCTGGAGCTGAAAAGAGGACGAAGTCCAAAATGAACATTTATTTCGAAATGAATAAATTTATAAATCAGAACTCTTAATACATATTAGTATTTATACAATTTAAACAAAGCTTGTATACTGGGAAAAAAGTTTTTGGAATCCAGTCTGTCCTGAAAGTCCATGGTATGTGGTGCTCTCTGCCCCTTTTCTGCCAACATTATTTTTTCTCATTTTCCTTCTCTCTTTTCCTGACACCCCCTTAAACTCATTTGTCATTATCTCACTCTTTCCATCAAGTCTTCCATACAAATACTTCATTCACAGCAGCACCACCTACCCCTGTATATTGAATCCCTTATCAATCCCTTGTATCACCTCCCACACACACACTCCCCTCCATACTCAGATCCTGAAACAACCCCTTCACACCATGTTCTTTTTATGCACCCTCCCTCATGCACACTCCACATGCTGCTGTTTCCCCATATGGCTACATGCATCTCTCACTGCATGGATCCTGACCCCCTGAAGATTCAGTTCTATTATTCCTGCATTTTCTGTTTAATGCTTCTTATAACTCCTCAACATGTACATGTAATGCTTGTTTAATTCTAGCCCCTGGGTACTGGAATACTATGCTGATGGTAAAAAGAATGAGGCAGTGGTACATGTACTGCCATGGAATGATGCTCATGGTGTATATATGTTTGTGAAAAAGTATTTATTGTTTGAATAATACATGGTTATGGTACAAAATTCAAAAGCTTCAAAAGGATATACAGTAAAAAGTTAGTACTTTCCACCTCTTTCTCCCAGTTCCTCTCTCCAGAGACAGCCACTTTTTTAGTTTCTTATTTTTCTAAAGGAAACCCAAAGAGGGGTCGCTATGAGTCGGGTTTGACTCGACGGCACATAACAACAACAACAACAACAACAACAATTTTTCTAAAAATGTTATATCCATATACAAG